ATACAGCAGCTCCGGCAGGGCCGATGAAACGTAGCAGGGCCCCATTTCACAAAAAGGGACTCACACCTGCCTATCTGAGGCACAGTGACCTCCTGAGGTCTGAGACTTTCCCTAATAACCACCGCCACCCCAGCACCCCTGTCCTTGCCTCTCGGCTGGTGAAACGCCCGGAAGCCTGGTGGGCATAATTCACTAAGGGGAACACCCCTCTCTTGGCCCAACCAGGTCTCCATAATGCACGGCAGGTCCGCTCTACCTTTTTGTTTGAGGTCGTAAATGAGGGGAGTCTTATGTACCATGGACCTGGCATTAAGCAACACCAGCCGGAGACCAGGGTCCTGTAATCCCGAGGACCCAGGGGCGTGAGAAGGGTGATGAGGGTTGGAACGCGCGATTGCTCTTAAACAGCAGACTCGTGTCCCCCAAACATAATTTGGCCCTCGGCCCCCACCATATCTGCCTCTCCCACAAACAGTAGAGATGGTGGACCCCCCAATGGAATGGCTTAATGTCTCCCCCAGAATCCCAACCCTTCCCAGCACTCCCGACCCGCACCCATTAGTTAGCTCTGGCCTGTGCCCTGACAGACTGCCCCCCAAGCCTGTCTGAGCAATCCGTATCAACACCCCCGCCCTCCCTTTAAAATTTGATTTTAAAACCCCTGTAAAAAACACCTAAGCAGTCTCTTCTTGAGCCGGATTTCACCTAATCTGTAGTTGTACTTTGTTTTTTCCTGCCTAAATACAAAACCTTGATTTTCTCCACATTAAATTTCATTTTGTTGGATAGGACCCATTGTTCAAATCTGTCAAGATCTTTTTGAATCATGAGCTTGTCTTCTGGGGTGTTGGATACACTATAGGCAGGAAACCCTATAACATTTCAGACAAACAGCTATCCAACATCTTCTTAAAGACTTCCAGTGTTGGGGCATTCACAACTTCTGGAGGCAGCTGTTCCACTGATTAATTGTTCTAACTGTCAGGAAACATCTGCCAGCTCCTTCAGATGTTCCACTGTCAGGAAACATCTGCCAGCTCCTTCAGCTGTTCCACTGATTAATTGTTCTAACTGTCAGGAAACATCTGCCAGCTCCTTCGGAATTCTGGGATGTAATCCATTAGGTCCCGGTAATTAATATTCATCAAGATCAGATAGGTGTTCTCTACTCATTTTCATGTTTATTTTAATTTTTATTTCTACTCTACCTTTTAGAGTTATGTTTTTGATAGGTTGGGCTATAGGTTCCTTTTGCTTGAAGACTAAAGCAAAGAATGACTTAAACACTTGTGTTTTTTTTCTGCTGCCTCTTACTTCTTTGCCATCTTCTCCCTTGAGTGGATCTACTGTTTCATTTTTCTTGTAATTTATATTTAGGAAGAAACTTTTTATTTTCTGTGACTTTTGTTGCAAATTTTTGTTCATTCTGACGCTTTGTTTTCCTGACTTCATCTTTGCATATTTCAGTTATCTACTGATACCTTAGTTATGACTCTTTCCATTTTTTCTACTTGTCCTTTTTCCTTTTCAGTTTATCAGAGAGATCTTTATGCAACCATACTGTCTTCTTGGATTTCTTGTTTTTCTTTTTCAGTGGTATTGTGCTGGCTGGGCTTTTATGATCAAAATTTTCAGTTTCCCATGCTTCTTCAGTTGTTTCCCCTTTAGGATTTCAATCCATGGAATTTTTCTTAGACTGTCTCTGAGTTTGTTAAAATCAGTTATTTTGAAGTTTAAGACACTGGCTGAACATATTTTATTGCTGGTGTTTGCATTATATTTAATTCCAATATGATGTGGTCTCTCTCATTCAAAGTTCTGGCAACTTCAACTCCTTCTATCACTTCTTCTCTATTAGTAATAATTAGGTCCAGTATAGCTTTCCCCCTATTTCCCTCCTCTATCTTTTGGATGCCAAAGTTGTGAGCTAGGTTGGTTAGGAATCTTTTTTATCTTCCTTTTGCTGCAGAGTTTGTTTCCCAATTGATATCAGGATAGTTAAAGTTTTCTATTACTACTGTGGTGTATTTCCTACATATATTTATTAATTGTTTAGCAAAAAGTTCATCTATTTCTTCTGATAGGTTGGGTGGCCTTTAGTATACATCTATAGCAATGTTATTATTTTTTCCTTTCATATTGACCCATATGGTTTTGTGGATTTCTGTAGCAATGTAGTGATTTTTTTATATATAATGCAACTCCACCTCCTCCAATACCATGGTGTTTTTTCTTCAGGAAAAAGGGGAAAATGATACTCAGGACGATGGATGAGGCTATAATTTCTCCACAAATCCCATAGAAATATTACATAATATCTTTGCAACATTTCCTCTTGAACAATACACCTTAAACCCAAGTATACACTAAGGCAGAAGCTTGTCCACCCCAAAGATAAAATACTCAGATACAAACTGTGCAACGTGATATACACAGTGCAATGCAGTGAGACACGTGCAAGCCTAGTTGCTTCTTGAAAAAGCACCTTTGGGTCATTGTATAAAAGGTGGTTAACCAAGTGCAGGTAGTCCTCAACTTACAATAGTTCATTTAACAACCGTTCAAATTTGAATTCTGTATATTTTTTAAATATTTTAAATGTTTTTATATTGTTGTAAGCCGCCCAGAGTCCCTAGGGAGTGGGCGGCATACAAATCCTATTAAATTTGAAATTTGAAAATTTATACTAGCACTGACAAACATGACTTATGAGAGTTTTTCATACAACTGTTGCAGCATCCCCATGATCACATTATCAAAGCTGAGTCGTGGGAACACTGAAATATAATGCCCACCTTGGATCAGTGTAGCCTTTGAATATTTAGATTCCCAGCCATAAGTTTATAACTTTGGAGCAAGAAGTGACTTAAGAAGGATTTTCTACATATACAAGTCAACTCAGTTTCTATCATAACTGAGAAGAGAAACCAAAAAGTAATCTCCCTTAATCTGGCACTCTCAAGATACATTTGGAGTAGTAGACCCAGAATAATAACAGGATGCAGAATGAGATTGGGATGGGGAGCAGCTACAGCAAGTTACACAAATGTATTCAAGAATAATGGAAAATGTATAGCTGCAAATAACTAGTGAGTAGATATTCATTTTTATTTGAATATCACCAGTAATCATGTATTGATTTAATATTAAGTATGATCTTGAATAGATCATACTTATTTACTTTAAATTCATACGGGATATATATTGCTAGGCTATGAAGTAAATTTACAATTCAGTTTGTCATTTTACACGCATGTAGTACTGTCCAAAATTAATTTGATTATTGTTCTTTAGTTTTAAAGGCACCATGACAGCATCATTAGAAGAAAGTATTGCAACAGAACCCTAAAATACATGAATACTGATTCTATCAATATTTTTACAATATTTGAAAATATAATTGGATTTTCACTTCAGAAAGCAATAGGATTTTTCAAGTATTCTTGTTGAACATTTGCACTTAAGGGTATAAAAGAATAACAACACAAAGTCCTTCCATTGCAGTGTTATTTAAGCTTTCACACAGTATCTTTTTTAATTAACTCATTTATACAGTGTGGTATGTATAGCTGTTATTACTTGAGTAAATCAAACAAAAATAGAAAATTGAATGGTAACCTTTTTCTTTTTTTCTCCTAGATGATTGGTTTCTAGAGAAGATAGTAATAGAAGAAAGAAACTATCCTTTTACTACATATACTTTTGTTCATAATAACTGGTTGCATCAACAGTCAAAGAAAGATTTTACAGAAGCTTCAATCCCACTACAAGGTCACGTGTCTTAATTTTCTAATTTAAGATGCAAAGATAGAGATCGATGTACAGATGTAGAGATACAAAATAGATGCATGTGTGCATTTGTCTCACATAAAATTATCACATAAATTGACAAGCAACTTTTCAAAATATCATAGGAATGAGTAACATAATTTGTCTTATACATACATACATACATACATACATACATGCATACACACACATACAGACATACACACACACATAAACACATTCTCTCTCTCTCTCTCTCTCTCTCTCTCTCTCTCTCTCTCACACACACACACACACACACACACACACACACACACACATTTTTATATATATAAGTAAATGTTTCCAGTCCCATAATTTCTTCTAAGATACCCAAAAGGCTTGAATATCTTGACTTAGTGGACCTATCTAATAGTGCTTAGACTTAGGCTTTTACAATTCCACCCTAGCATTACCAGAACTTCCAATTTAGGAAGCAGTGCACCAAACCATTTAATTACAGAGAAGCCCAATAGAGAGGCTCTACCAATATCCAGATGCAACTCTTGGTTTGATTTTTACAAATCAAAGGGATCCAAGTCTCAAATTGGCTTCTTATTTCTAGGAAGTTTTGTCTTGTAACCTGCACCTCTATGATTTTCTTTGTTCTGCGCTAAAAGCCTTTGCAGAGGTCCAGGTTCTTGGGCTCAGTGAGAATGCCTTGATTTAGTCTTCCTACAAACTAATTCAAAGATTCTGAAGGCTGTCCTTCATTCTTTGGATGTTGATTCCTCTCTGGGCATGAAAGGACTAGGAATATATGGTAAATTACAAACAGTTTAGGATTCAGTCTTTTTGAAACTCAAGTTACAAAAAGTGAGATGAAGCAGGAAATGGATCAAGTACAGAAATAGTAACACAGGAAGACTGATTTGGTCATCTTGCAGTTTCTAAGGAAACCCTCATAACACAGCATGCAAAATTCCATTGATTCCACAATTTTTTTTAAGGTTTCATTCCTGATAGAGAATTTATGGGAAATTTGGCAATATATTACTCCAATATGCCTAATTTATTGTTGATGCAACAATACACAGGGGTACACTATTCCCTCTTTCTTACCCAGCTTTGTGTTTGGGGATCTTTAGATTCATTCTATTTCAAAAGAAACCTACTTTGATTCCTGGAATCAATTCAGAATTTTGGTGAATTTAAAGCATATTTGTAATTCACACTTCAAATTCTATATGATGTTACTCTAGAAAAGGCATGTCAAACTCGCAGCCTGCAGGCCGGATGCATCACATGCTGGCCACATCCCCAGTTTACCAAAGGGGGGGGGGAAGTCATAATATGTCATCTGATGATAATGTGATGCCGTGAGTTTGACATCCCTGCTCTAGAAATATTGGCAATAAGACAACATAACAGACTAAATATAACAAAATAATAAATGACTTCAGATTGACTTTTTAACTGAAACCTGGAACACATTTGTATTTCATTCAGAAATGACAGAAAAATCTGGCCCCATGAAAGGTTTTGAAGCAAAAAGCCAAGGACAATGGAGACTGTGGATAGACTTTGTCCATGTTCCAGAAAAAATGCCTGAAATAAAAATTCTTGCCTATGGAACCAATGGAGTATCATTTGCACAGAGAGTTCAACATTTTAAAAATGAACCCTTTCTGGTAAGTTTCTAGTTGTTAATATTGCAATTAGGATGCTTTCTACTTTCTGCTTAGGTTCGCCACCCTGTTGTCAGCATCTGAAATTGAGCATAAGAATGTAAAAAGCTTGAGAGTCATAATAGGAGAGGATTAGTATCCTTTGTAGTCTGTTTCTGAAATTCCGAATGCATTTGCTCATTCAATGGATAACACAGAATGCTATATTAGATATACGTTCTTAAATTCCAAAGGGAAAAGTATAAAGTTCACATACTGAAGGAATGACAGACTGTGAAAAGTGGAACTGACATCCTGAGGACCTAGAGTATTTTCTAATCTTTATTGCTGATATCTTTACCTTTTAGTTTAATTGCTCTTTTAAAACAGATTCAGATTTGAATGCATATAAAAGTAATATTTTAATATGAAAATGAAGACATTTTAAAATAGATAGACAGACCTATACACTCAGAGAAAGAATCCAAATCTATTCACCAAATCATTCAAATCTATTTATAGTTGTTGTTTTTCCTTTAACAGTTGAGTATTGGTGATATTGGTCAAATAACAAAGCTTTCCTTTCTGTCGTCCTGCTCAAATTTGAATAAAGGGATCAAACTGCATAAGGTACTGCCTCATTTTTACTTATGCTAACTTTCATACTTTAGTATTGATGGTATTTCAGCAATTTTGTGCCTTAAAGTACAGCTTTTTAATATAGTTTAATTGAAGAAATTTGAACAATATAAAAACAATACAAATATTAGAAAAGAAAGAAAAATGGAAGAAAGGTGAATAAGAAAGAAAATAGGAAGGGAAAGCAAAATAGAAAGGTTATAAAGAAATAGCTTCAAAATTTATGTTTTAAATTGTTTTAAAGTAACATGTTCATCATTTGTACATAATTCTTTTTCAAATTCTGTTTTATATTTCAAACTAAAAGTCCTTTTATCTACTTCAAATCTTTATAGTAGTGGTACATAACAAAACCATTTATTTTAGGTAAAACTGCATAGTGATCTTCATGAATAATGTCCGGTAAAACCAGATTTATTTTCTCAACTAATATCATCATGAATAACTTATAATCATTATTAAGTACTGATATTGTATTAAAGTGACCAGATTTTCAGATTGGTAAAGAATGACACCTTTGCCCGGGGGGGGGCTTGATTAAAAATTTTATACAGAGCAACAAAAAATTTCATACAACGCAAAAATAGTATTGTAATATATTTTTTATTTCAATATAACTACAATTTACAAATATAAATTGTAACTGTTGCCAAACATCAAAATTTTGGTCACGTGTCCATGAGGATTCTGCAATGGTTGCTAAGTGTGAAAATGGTCGCTAAATGTGAAAAATGGTCATCAGTCACTTTTTTCAATGCCATTGTAACTTTGGTCACTATACCACCTTTCTTGCCACAGTTCTTAAGTGAATAACTGCAGCTGGTATTTTGTATTTTGCATAGAATCTTTTTTTAAATAGTCTAAGACAATTTAAAAAAAGAATCCACACAGAATAAAACTATTTTAAAAAATCCTATGCACAATAAATAAAATATTATTTTAAAATACATAAAAAAATAAAAGAAAAAACCCCAGCTCACTTACCAACAGGCACAAGTGAGCACTCCAAGTCAATCCAGAATGATGTAGATGTTAATACAAAGAACTGAGCAAATTAAAATGGGGAAATTAGTCAGGGAAATATTTTTCAAAGAAACTTTGCCACCATTTTTTCCACACGAGCTGACCTCCAACCTCCGTGCCCCTCCCCTCCGGAAAATCCAGGAAGGAACACTTGCTGCCTCTCTAGCCAAGTATTTCCTGGAGCTCTATGGTACTGGGTCATCTTTTCTTATAAAAGTGAGTAAAAGGGGCGGGGGGGTCCATTTTCTTGCTTTAAAGTTTTAATATCTTCAATGAAAGTACTGAGACAGAGAGAGAAAGGTTAGATAGAGTGTCTTTTGTCTTGCCCCGGTTAAGATTTCTTAAGCAAATCCATGGGGCTTTCAACATGAAGCCAGAAAATCAGGACTTTTTAAAAACGCCCCAGGACATGGGACAAATTGTTATAAATCGTGACTGTCCTGCTGAAATTGGGACATCTGGTCACCTTATATATGATAGTTTTTGGTGAAGTCAAGTCTTGACTTTCAATAAGTGTTAATGCTATGTCAGTCTCCATGCAATGATTATAATAATTGATCTCCAAAATTTTTATGAGGTTGCTAAATGATCTGCTCTATATGCTTTTTCTATTTAAACCTTTTTAATATCTCCACAAACGTCCCTTATTGTAATAAGACTATTCATTAATGGTTTCTCTGCGATATTCAGTAAATATTCATCAGTCTTTACCAGGAAATTTCCTTTCTTTTATTGCTGAAATATTTTTCATCTTTGGATTATATGTTTTTATAGTAATTCCACCTTGTAATTTTAATATCTCTTTTTCTTTTTCCTTCTAACCCTTTCCCTGGCTTATTTGCAAATTCAACATTCTTTTCTTTTACGTAATTATTTTTACTTTCTTTTTTCTTACTGCTAATAAAGACAACTATCATTGTAAAAGTTTGATTTGTTGTGAAATAATTTTCCTTTGGGAGGAATTTCTTTAATTCTTTCACTTTTATCTGATCTAAAATTACTTATTTTTGACTTGTTTCTCTTTTTTCTAGTTTACTACTATGCTGTATAAAATATTCCCTCATAAAAGCTTTATTTTAATTTCGAACCATTTTCATGCCTGTACCTTTATTAAGATTATTATCAAAAATATACTTTTTACAATTTCCCATTATTGTTTCTTACTGCAACATAGTTTTGTTTAACATTCAATTATCTGAGGAAAATTGTTTTCCTTTTAAATATTAAAGTCACTGGATTTTGATTTGAAAAAGTCTTTGATAAGTATCTCCGTTTTATGAACACTAGTGGCAAAATTCAGTCTTGAAAAGAATCTGTGTCTTTTAGAAAAACAAGTGAATTCTTTTGCATCATCATTTTTGCATCTCCATGCTAAACTTCTAGTAGATTACCTTGTGTTATTTTGAAATATGTCTCAGGAGTTCTGTCCTTCCTTTTTTTTGGGGACACATTACTCCATTGAATCTCCCACTAAATACCAATTTTCATATAAGTCCATTAGTTTGTCCACATGTGTACTGTTTTTTGTTTTGGAGTATAAATTCCAACTATCAAAGTCTAGGGCCCATGCAGAGAAATTTATCTGTCATTATAATAAGTCAGTATCAGTTTTGGTTGCAAATGAGGGTTTATATTTAAAAAACCCTCAATTTCTTTTTATCTCCTATTGAAAAAAATTCTTTACACAAATTTCTTCAGATAAAATATTTTATATCCATTTTTCTAATATGGGTTTCTTGAAGACAAATTACATTTTGTTTCAATTTTTTAGCATTGTTCTTTCTTCTTTCCTTCTTCTTTATTTCCTTCCTTCCTTCCTTCCTTCCTTCCTTCCTTCCTTCCTTCCTTCTATTTATATTCCACATTTGAAAATTACAATTTCCACTTCATTATTAATTTGATTTATCCTTTAAGATTGTTCAATTTTTTTAACTTCTTTGATCTTTACAAACCTTTCTTTCTTTCCCACTTCAGTTCATTTTTATCAGATCTGACAGATTCAGATATCTGCTTTTCTATTTTTTCAAACAGTTTTCTGTTATGTTTCTAGGGCAATTTATTTTTCTGTCAGTTGCTCTAACAAATTTTGCCTTCCCTCACCTTGCTTTGCAGCTATTCCAATAGCCACTATTCTTTTATTAGTTAAAATAAGTGGATTACAAAGATAAAGGTAAAAAAGCAGGTTTTTCACCCTTCCCCTATTTAGCTTTCTGTATACCCTTAAGGCTTTAGTTCAATTTGTCTTTCCCTAGTTTAGATGACACAATCCATCTCATGTTACACTTACCTCCTTATTTTATAACTTCCACAAATTAACTTTTCCTTTTGTTATCAATCAGCGTTCCCAGGAAAATCTAATCTGTTAGAGAACACTCAATGTTTGACTCAAAGGTTAATGTGGAACCTAGAAGAAAATGTGGTCTTTAAGCAATTATGAAGTCTAAAGTATTCATTGTTGTTTAGGAATAAATAAGCTCTTAGAGTAATCCCCAAAAGATATAAATAAAGACATTGTTTAATGAGTTTCAACATCATTGAATAGCCTTTAGTAGAAAATAGTAGTGCAATTTATCTTCAACTCCGACGGATCTTAGATGAAGCAGATTATCTAGACCCTTTTCAGTCCGGTTTCAGGCCTGGTTACTGTACCGAAACTGCTTTGGTCGCACTGACCGATGATCTCTGGCGGGCCAGGGATAGAGGACATCCTCTATCCTAATGCTCCTTGACCTCTCAGTGGCCTTCGATACCATCAACCATGGTATCCTTCTGTGACGGCTGGAGGAGGTGGAAGTGGGAGGCACCGTTCTATGGTGGTTCTCCTCTTACCTCTCCGACAGGTCGCAGTCAGTGTTGGTTGGAGGGCAGAGGTTGACCCCTAGGCCCTTTAATTATGGGGTGCCGCAGGGGTCAGTCCTGTCCCCCCTCCTATTTAATATCTACATGAAGCCACTGGGTGAGATCATTAGTCGGCAAGGGATTAAATACCACCAGTACGTGGATGATACACAGTTGTATCTGTCCGCCCTGTGCCAGCTCAGCGTAGCCGTGGAAGTGATGTGCCGGTGCCTGGAAGCTGTTAGGGTCTGGATGGGAGTGAACAAACTTGCACTCAATCCTGACAAGACCGAGTGGCTGTGGATGTTGCCTCCCAAGGACAGCCCAGATAGTCCGTCCCTAAGCCAGGGGGGGAGAAAATTTACTCCCCTCAGAGAGGGTCCACAACTTGGGGGTCCTCCTGGATCCGCAGCTGATGTTAGAACACCACCTGTTGGCTGTGACCAGGGGGGCCTTTGCCCAGGTTCGCCTGGTGCACCAGTTGTGGACCTATTTGGATCAGGAGGCAGCTCAAGACTTGATTACTGTAATGCACTCTACATGGGGCTGCCCCTGAAAAGTGTTCTGAGACTACAATTAGTCCAGAATGCAGCCACGCGAGTGATACTGGGTGTACCAAGGTACACCCACACTACACCTATCCTCCGCGAGCTGCACTGGCTCCCTATTGGTCTCCGAGCACGATTCAAGGTGCTGGTTATTACCTTTAAAGCCCTACATGGCTAGGACCCGGACATCTGCGAGACTGTCTTCTGCCGCACACCTCCCAACGACCGATAAGATCGCACAGGGTGGGCCTTCTCTAGGTGCCATCAGCCAGACAATGTCGGCTGGTGGCTCCCCGGGGGAGGTCCTTCTCTGTGGCCGCTCCGACCCTATGGAATGAACTACCCCCAGAGATCCGGACCCTACCCACTCTCATGGCCTTCTGAAAGGCTATCAAAACCTGGCGATTCCGGCAGGCCGGGGGCTGTTGACCTCTTGACCGAGGTCCAGCCCCAATTAGACTGGGTGCATGATGTGTTTCTTTTAATCTGTTTCCTCTGTTGTTTTTAACTCTTCTTTTTAAAATCTATTTTCTGTAAGCCGCCCGGAGTCCTTCGGGAGTGGGCGGCCTATAAATTTAATAAATCCAATCCAATCCAACTTTATAAAGACATGAACAATATTTATGAAACACCTATTTAATTAATTCCAAGTAATGTCAAAATAAGAAAAATGCATGTTTCAAATGAAGTAAATAAACAAACAGTGATTGACACCTAAGTTAAAGAGGTATTATTTTCAAGAACTACCGGATAGAAAAAAAAGAATCAGTAGTAATTATTGTCCAAATAATAAGCGTAAAAACATTATTAGTTGATTTATTGGACTCAACTTTAAAGCTTCATCCTTCTGAGCATCTAATCTGTCATTACCCAGCATGTACTTATGAGTTATTGGGATATAGATAAATGCCTTATGGAGTAATTTAGACTAGAGAATCTAGTTTTCATGGAATGGTATCAGTATACTTGGAAAGTAATTGCCTTTGAATCCATTTCCGGAACATTGACAAAAACTGGCTAGTAGAAGATGCTGCATGTAGCATTGATGATCATTACAATGTTGATGACTTGGAATATTGAAGAAGGAAACTTAAAATACTGGAGGAGTAAAAAGTAAAGCATATAGATTAATAAAGTAAGTGAAGGAAGAAAAATAGTCATGTCATGTGCTGCAAAGATGATATAAAGGTGTAATATGAATGATCTTATTCAGTAGAGATGATGAATATTTACAGGGAAATTGTGAATAAAAATGTTTAAAATCTGAAACTATGAATTGATGTAATCAATTGTATGTATTCATCAAAGTAGAAGTCCTTATATAGGTGTGGTTATGTTTCAGTGAATGATAACAATGGAAAAAAACAGAATAATCTTAAGAAAAATTGTGCAACATTCTGAATATGTATGACTCAGGATAAAAAAAAATTGTAGGGTGATCTGAGGGAATGTGAGAAAGTACCCCCCCCCCCGAGCTATTTGGAGACTTAAGAATAAATAATGAAAATAGTGATTAGTGCAGGGTTTTGTTTTGTTTTATTTAAGCAGATCTATTCATTTGTACACATGGTAAAAGAATATATCTAAATCTAAACACATCATTGATTTGATTTTTTTTATGATGAAAGAATCAATGAAGATATAAGGATGATGAACATTTCTGAATGTGCACACATTCTTTGATTAGTTTTAGGAATGGATTTAAGGAAGAAATGGGCATGGAAGATACTAAATGAAATAAACATGAGTAAATTACTGCTGCGATGTTAAAAAATAGTAAGACTACAGGTGTCCATAGTGTAACTGGAGAAATATTAAAATATAGCATTAGTTTGCTTATAAAATACCTGTGTGATTTATTTCGTTGTTGTGAAGACTGCATCTGATAACTGGAAGGGCAGTAAAATTCAATGAAAATATGGAAAATTTGGAAATTGCACTTACCGACACAAATTGTGCCTATTAGAGTTTTACACTTTCGTCAGTAATTGGGGGAAAAATGCATCAATATGAGAGATTAAATTTATTATACATATGCTGGTTTCAGAAAAGGATTTGATAAAATGAATGGATTTGCATTATGGAAATTTTGTGTAATATTCACTTGAAAGTTTCTCAATGGCATAAATGATATGGTTGAAATAAAGGATATGTGAAATAATTCATCACTGAGCAGAAAATAAAACAAGGATATGTTGTATCCTCTAGTTTATAGTATATTTATGGATAAATGTGAAAGGAATCCTTGAGTAACCATAGAGATGTTATTGTTTGGAAGGTAAATGTGTAGAGAGCTTTTAACATTTATAGATATATAAAGACATAGTGGATGATATTAGTATAAATTTTTCTATATCCTTTTTCTTCCCTACTTTCTTTGCTTTACTGCTTTCTACTTTATTTTACCCCAAAAAGGAACAAAGTAACAGGTATCAATGTATCATTCTTTTAAAAATAATATTTTAAACAGACTTTGAAATGGCAGGAATAAGGCAGTGTAAAGTTCCCTCTTTGCTGCTAATATGTATCCTGTATTTTTCCTGATAGTAGCTATATAAAAGAATCCTCTCTGAATAACTGTCAATCTGAAGCTTTATGTAAAGCTTACATTTAAAATATTAAAATAGTTGTTCTTGCACCAAATACATAATATGGTCCATAAAACTATTATTTGTCTAACATCATGCAATATTTTTAAAAAGCCAGGTATCAGAGTTGTATTAGAAAAAAACTAAATAAATCGGTAATTCTTATAGGAACAATATCAAATCCAGCCTTCTATATTTCAAAACATAAAAAAGGCAAATCTTGTTTCTGTCATTTGGATACTTGGATCAGATTTGTCTTTCCCTTTCTACTCATTAGGCCTCATCCATGATTTGAAGCAGGGTAGTTTCCAGTGAGAAGAGATCAAAGAAAAGTGAAGAAGAAATTCTATGAGGAAATGATTATTTTTCCTGAAATTAAAAATGGTCATTTCCTGTATAATGACGACTGTCAATTTCAGAATGTAAACTTTCTGAGTTCCATTTTCAAGTAGCAATTGGAAAGCGGGTTCCCCCCCCCCCCAATTTGACAGCACACTGGAAGAAAACATGATGAGAAAGTGAGATAAATCCTAAAGCTGAGCCAAAAGTTTACAGGGCTTCCTTTAGATTTTTTTCATCAGAACAAGGCTGGTTTGAAGAACTTTACACTTCATTTTTGGCAGCAGCTGACACCATCCCAGCTGTTGGATGTCTGAAGTTTTGCATAAGCGCAAGGCAACCAATCTGTAGTTTCAACATCCCACATCCCATAGTCAGTTTATGTTCACTTTACAATCGCTGCAGTCACTTACAACTATGGCATTTGCTTAATGACTGCAGCAAAAAATGTCATAAAATCATGTGAGTGATCTGCTTTATGACTATCATAACTTATGACTATATTGAGCAGGTTCCATTAAGGTCATAAGTCAAGGACTACTTGTACATGCCCCTACTTCCTTATACCTATGCAAGACTACTTCATTAAAACAAAGAAAAAAAGAAACAAAAAATGTGGTTATTATTATCCTGTAGGTAAGGATGAAAGACTTGGATACAAAAGAAGAATTAGGCTTTCACCCTTTAAACCGATGGCTTTTTGAAGAAGACGGGTCAGAAACTGTGACGGAACTAGCAGTAGTAAGACCAAATGAAGCTCCTCTCAAAGGTACGTTGTTCAATAACCACAGTATAGCCCTTTCTTTCAAACTTGGGAGTGCCAAAACATGACATCAAGGACAACTCTTAGGTGTCAAACACTACAGATAATGGCATTGCGGTCATACTGATGGTTGCTGGGAGAATACTTCTCCAAACAGGTGGCTTCAATGATAAAAATCTTTATGCTATTTTAGAGAGGGATGGAAAAAAAGTAAGTGATGAAACTGATGAAAGATGAACATATGTGAGGAGGAACAGTAGCACAGATGAGGCCAGGAAGAAATCTAGGCATGGGAAGAAGTTTGTAGGGAGGCCAAAAAATGTTACATCAAATAGGGATGAAAAACAAAATAACAGGGAGGAGGGGGGGAAATAAATTGGTGACATATGCAAAACCAGGTTCTATGGTGACATAGTATGCCATTTTCAGGATTGCACATCAAAGGATATATTTGAAAAAATATGTCCAAAAGTATGTATTTCATACAATCTCTTTTTTGATAATTGATATAGATGAGGACATGTGCTTCAGTTTCTGAGAGTTGTAATGTAGTACCATAATTAAGTTGCTGGGCTAAAAATCACCTTAGGCATGAAAGCTGGCTGGGTAACTTTGTGCCAGTCATTCTCTCTTAGCCAAATCTATCTCACACAGTTGTGGAAAAAAACAACAGAAGGAAAGAGTGTTATGTATGTTACTGCCCTGAATTACTTATTTAATAAAAAAATAAAATACTTGGAGTGACTTTCTTAAAAATCACATATACTATCATGTGATATTACATTTATGCATATTTTTGGACAATTTCATTTCTACAATATATTGGGGTTTTTTTTAAAAAAAGAAAAACCTGAACATTGCCTTTATGGGGAAAAAAACCTTTATTTTTTATTATTTTCCAAAACCATTTAAGATAGACAACAGTTTAATTTCATTGACATTATTAGGATTTAGATGTTAATGTAATGATACTTACTTAGAAATGAGTGAGTTTTTAATTGCATGTGTTGCAGGATGAAATAACTAGTTAATTTAAATCCAGCAGATCTTATTTAACTGGATTTGAATGGGATTATAGAATTTTCACCCCCAAAAAAGGGTAGAACAAGAAGCAATGGGTGGAAACTAATCAAGGAGAGAAGCAACTTAGAAATGAGAAAAAATTTCCTGACAGTTAGAACAATTAATCAGTGGAACAGCTTGCCTCCAGAAGTCGTGAATGTCCCAACACTGGAAGTTTTTAAGAAGATGTTGGCTAGCCATTTGTCTGGAATGGTATAGGGTTTCCTGCCTAGGCAGGGGGTTGGACTAGAAGATCTCCAAGGTCCTTCCAACTCTGCTATTGTATTGTATTGTGTTGTATAATGCCTAATGTATAAATTTCATTACATTCCATACAATTAAAATGCAGACGTAATTAAACCCTCTTAGTTTCAAATTAAGTGTTTTTAAATTTTCTAGAATTCTTCAAAAAAGAGGGTTAATACAGATGGTCAAACACTGACATTTCCTTCCTATTCTAACTCAGAGACAAATAGATTGGCAAAACTGGTTGCTTGAAGGGTAACTTCTATATACTGTTTGTTCAGTTATTTTTATAAATAGAGATCAAATTTTGTCCTGTTCCTTAAAGTACATATTCAGAATTATAAGTCCTTACTCAATCAAAATATTTTTCAATATGATTTTTATATCATAATAACTAATATTAATGTTGATCAATATAAAGGATTGATCTCCTTCCTTATACTAGTTTAATTGGCAGTAATGATATAATAGGTTCGGAAGAAAGCAGATAATTTTGACCAAACTGCATCTTTTTTTTCATGAAAATCAGTGCATTGAGGATTCTAATTAAAAGTAGTATTATTAATTCCATAAACAATATAAAAGGAAAAAATGTTTCTCAGTTTATATAAGATCTAAATCACTTTTAATTATACACCTGAATCATTATAACATGATTAATCTGAAAATTAAAAAAATCTGTCCAGAACAAGCTTTGGTTTACCACTAATAAACTCTCTTACACATTTGTTTCATATGTTCAAAATTATTTCTAAAATAGCTACTATTTCTACTATAATAAAAGGTAAATTGCAATGTACTGTACCGTATTAAAAAAAAGAGGCAGATGTCATAGCTATGTGTATGTTTGTTCAAGAATCTTAGAAATATCATTAAGGCTGTAATTTTATCTAAATGTACTAGAAAGAAACCTTGAACACTTTGGACTTGTATATCAAGCACATTTCCCCCTCTTGAAAACAGGTGGTACTCAAACTTGTAGAGCTGAATTGTGTTACAAATTAAATCTCATGTCCCAGATTTCAGCTAGGCAGGTCTGTTCTTTTTGCTAAAAAATTAGAATAAAAATGTACCTACATTCTAACAATTACATATCAGTTATGGTATAATAGAATCATTTAATCAGATGAGAAAAATATACTTGCAAATCTCTTCCCGGTCCTGCTATATTTTTCTTTATTTCATGTAAGAATGAGTAGCCTTTTATTCTTTTTCTTTAAATGGCCTTCTTTCTAGTTAAGGGCCACAGGAAATCTGGCTGATAAAATTATAGGGTAGTATTTTCAGGCTCTTTTTTTGCACTTTTAGAGAACTGAAAGTTAAGAATGGTCATAGTGCTTCCATGTTACACCTATCCTCCGTGAGCTGCACTGGCTCCCTATTGGTCTCCAAACACACTTCAAGGTGCTGGTTATTACCTTTAAAGCCCTACATGGCTTAGGACCTGGATATCTCCATGACCACCTCCTGCAACATACCTCCCAGCGCCCAATAAGATCCCACAGGGCAGGCCTTCTCCGGGTACCATTGACCACACAATGTCATCTGGTGGCTCCTCGGGGGAGAGCCTTCTCTGTAGCTGCCCTGGCCCTCTGGAACGAACTGCCCCCCAAAATCCAGACCCTCCCCACTCTCTCGACCTTCCAAAAGTCTGTTAAGACCTGGCTGTTCCGGCAGACCTGGGGCTGATGATCTTGATTGACCTTCAGCCCCATTAAGATCGAGTGCATGTTGTGTCCTGTTTTAATTTGTTCTGTCTTATATTTTAAATTTTTAATATCTTCTTTTTTAAACTGTCTTTTATGTAAGCCACCCAGAGTCCTCCAGGATTGGGCGGCATACAAATCTATTGACAAAATTTGCAGGCATTTAAGGCATTTCCTTGCCCATTAAATCCCACTATGACTAGGAAAAATTAGTTTATAGAACATAAAATAACAGAGGGGACTTTGGAGGTTTTCTAGTCAAACCCTCTGCTCGAGCAGGAGACCCTATACCATTTTGGACGAATATTGAGTTTTAAGGAGGACGATACAAAGTTTAAGTTGTCAGTTTTGCTGCTTTAATTTTGTACCAGAGGTGGTATTCAGCAGGTTCTGACCAGTTCTGGAGAACAAGTAGTGGAAATTTTGAGTAGTTCAGAGAACTGGTAAATACCACCTCTGAGTGGCCCATTTATTCTTTGCCTCCCAAGTCCCAGCTGATCGGGAAGAAATGGGAAATTTGCAGTAACCTTCTGAAGTGGGGAAGGAATGGAGATTTTACAGTATCCTTCCCCTCCCACGCCCACCAAACCACACCCACAGAACCAATAGTAAAAACGTTTGCATTCCACCAGTGTTTTGTACCTACTCATCCACATTCACTGCTACTACTGCTTCTCACAACTATTTAATGGGATTTTAATATTGTATTATTTTTCAACATTGGTTGGCAAATAATTTTAACTTTAGAGATCCCAAGCGGTGTCTTGGGGAACAGTGAAATAATGTCTATACAATTTTGAAAAGTTGCAATTGGAGCTGTTGGTGATCGCAAGTAGTCCCACCATTAGTTGCTTATTCCCAACTAATCTTCAAAATTCCCTTATTATTGCAAATACTTGCATAGAAGATAAAATAATTTATAATACACTGTGATTCTCATTTTGATATATTTTCTTGTCCTGTCACAATATATGGTGCCATCATCTAACAATTAAAACAAATAGAAAACCTGATTTTTTTTAATCCATACTATAGCTAGAAAGTAATTCAAAAAGAAAGTAATAGCAGGCCTAAAGGGGCCTCAGAGTTAACAGAAGTCCAAGAAAAGGGATCAAGGTAGTCCCAAAATGCATAGTAAGGATTCTATATGCTCAGCTATCTTAAAGTTATCTACTATCCAATAGCACCCATTCCTAGATTGGAAGGTTGTGCTCAAGATCACTCATGCCCTCATCATTTCCTTGTTAAACTATTACAATGCACTCAGGAACTACTGCTGGTACATACATTTTGGGATGCCTTATGAGCCAGAGTGGCACAGTGGTTAGAGTGCAGTACTGCAGGCTACTTCTGCTGACTGCTGGCTGACTACAATTTGGCAGTTCAAAGCTCAACATGGTCAAGGTTGAGCCAGCTTTCCATCCTTCCGAGGTGGATAAATGAGGACCCAAATTGTTGGGAGCAATACGCTCACTCTATAAATTGCTTAGAGATGGCTGTAAAATGGTATATAAGTCTAACCAGCAGGTTTCTAAGGTCAATCCAAGCTGCTATTTGTTACTGGAACACATTCTTTACAAGGCTGTTTTTTCTAAAGTTTTATGCCTGTGCCACCAATTCTGGTCTGGTAGGCATCCTCTGGACTCTTATGTGAAACATTGTCAACTGGTGGTATCCAAGAAGTATGCCTTCATTGTCATGGTACATCCTTTGTAACAACCTTCTCTCCCTTCCCAAAAATTTGGATTACCCCACCCCCACCCCCAAAGCACATTGTTGGCATTCCAGAAGGTCTTGAACACCAGACTTTTCATTCAGGAGCCAGGTGATCATTTTGGAGCCTATTTTGTGTGTTTGTTTTTATGCTGCAAGACTGTTTGTGGGGAGCTTTGGTCATTTTTAATTATGACCAAAAGTACCAAAAGTAAAAAAACCAAAGTATGATTTTTACTTTATGTTATTTTATGCATACATTTTGTTTTAAACACACACAATTATTGGGTTAAGATTGCATTCTATGTAAAGTAAATAAATACAGAACAACAATGGAAAAAGACAGAATAGGTTATGAATGACCGAGTCATCAACAACAAGCACTTTACACTATTATCATCTGTATCAAGGTTGATAACAGTTGGCTTCACACACTGTGCCAAACCATAATAGCACTAACTTAATACAAAGTTAGTGAATTCAATAAAAATATTGAGTTTTACTAAACAAACAATTCATGGTTTAACACAGTGTATGAATCTATCTGTTCATATTAGATCTTTTATACTGGCTTGGAAATGCATGCTATGATTTATTGTATATTTGAAATATGAATATGCATAACATTTTAATTCTGATATCTTAGTCTTCAAAGCAGATAATGCTTTATAATATGATGTGCATTTTCTCTGTTATCTTCTATTGGAATAGAAAGGGATGACTGAGCTGTTGTTCAGATTCTTGAATTGTTCTCAGACATGCATACTGATTTTATTTTACTATGCTCAAGAGATACTTTGCACAGCAAAAGTAAAGGTTTTGAGTATATTTTACAGGCAGTTTTCTTCTTTTAATTTTTAATTGTTTAAAGTCTGTCAAATATTTTCAAGTGTTCCATTTTACATTTGCTTGGGGTCTTCTTTAGGTCTACAAGCAACTCAGACTTTAAATATACAGCTTTAGTCTGTATATGACTATACACAGCATGCTGGCCAAAGAATTCTAGGAGCTGAAGTCCACATATCTTAAAGTTAAAGTTGCCAAAGTTGAGATCACTGATCAGATTTATATTGTAGCACTAAGTACTATTTAGTCTATGAAAGAATATGTGAGTGATTGTTTTATCTCTTTACATGGATTCTTTTCATATGTTTTTTCATCTGATGTTTTATTACAGAAATTACTTATTCAATCAATGTTTATACAGGAACATTACCTGCATCTGAAACAGATGCAAATATCTTTATTACACTATTGGGAAAGAATGGAGACTCTTACAAAAGACAACTGAAGCATCCAAAGTCATGCCCACAGTTTGAAAAGGGTCAGGCAAGTACGGAACACATGTAGTTATGCTTCAGAAATTTTTTAGACATTTCAGTGGAATTTGGAACAGCCCTGTGCCAAAACACACCAATTTAGTTACAAGAGAAAAGTATTACAGCCTCAAACTTCTGTCACTCATACCATTATGTGAAAACCTGAAAAATTCTGAAGTGCAATCCTAAACATCTGAAATCTGGTTTCCATAATTATCCCTCATTCCTAAAATGAATGAAACAAATATCACTTACTACAATCCACAAAACATGTGTAATGCCATATATTAGTAGAAAATTAGGACAATCCTTAAGCTGTCATAAGTAATTAGTTATCTATCTCATTCAATCATCCAAGAACTACAATCCTGGATAAAAGGATATTTGATAAAGTGTTTAATATTATGAAACCAATCTGTTAATGTTCATACATTCAATATGTTGTCATACGCATCAAAAGATTTAATAGCTATCATATTGCAAAACTCAAGATCTTTTCCAGACAGATTTGTTTTCAATGAAAATGGATTCTTGAATGCTTTCAATGCAGACTAGTCCATTGCTTTTACAAAAGCACCTCTAGTACAAATTCGTAAGTCATGAAATCCTCACTATCATTTTTAAAAGCTTAAGTCATTAAAATGCTTTATGGTAAAAAGAAATGTAAATCCCAGTGCAAGTAGCTTTTTGCAGCAATTCTAATGAAACAACTATTGTGGAGAAGAAGAAAGGTATCGATATTATACTGCTATGGCTTTTAGTGAATATTGGTCTACCTATCAAACCAGGATGCCATGATTGTTATATCTATTTCCTAAATTAATGACCAGCAAAGTCTGAATGCTAAACAGCAGAGATTTTAAGTAACAAATATAACATGAGATATCTGTGTTCAGTATAATATATCCCTTTTCTGGTCACATCAAATCTAATTAACACAATATCCTGCTGCTTGATTACAGATCTCCAGTAATTAAAAATTAATGTAAAATTAGCTAAGCAATTGATTTACTTACCCAAGAGATTTCTGGAATGTCTTCTATTGAAGAATTCTAAGAGGACATTTAAAAACTTTTTCAGATGCTAATTTTTATCTACCCCTTAGGACAGGGCTATCAAACTCCCAGCCCACAGGCGGATGCGTCATGCACTGGCCATTTCCACCCCCAGTTTAGCAAAGGGGGAAAAGTCCTGATACATCAAGTGACATCACTGTGACAACACGAATTTGACACTCCTGCCCTAGGATGATGATAGTGTTATCAAACTACTATTGATGCAATGTCAATTTCCAAACTTCCATTCATCCTTGCAAAAATCATTTGCATTTCCTTTCCTTATTTTAGAGATGTAGGTAGTTGTCAATGAACAACTATTCATGCAGCAGCCAAAGTTACAATGGCACTGAATGAGAAGGACTTATGATGGACCTTCATAATTGCAGCTGCTGCAGTCTCTCTGTAATTATGTGATCACTATTCAGACATTAGTACAAGTTATTTGATAAAAGAAAAAACAGAATTTAATTACATCTTGGCAAACAAAAATGATTTATATCACTTGTGCTAGCTGCTTTTATTGGTTTCATGGGTTAAACCATGGGTGTCAAACTTATGGCATCATATTGCCGTCATATGATGCTTCACGATGTTTTTCTCATTGATGGAGCTGGGGTGGGCATGGCCTGCATGTGACCTAGCCGGCCCATGGGCTGCCAGTTTGATCCCTGGGTTAAATGAATAGGAAATGTTCTTTGAACCTAGTTGAAGCAAAATTTAAATCAAAGATGTCAATTTTAAAGAATCACTTTTGTCTTTTATCAGCTAGCATTTCCACAAAGGGATAAATGGCATAACATAAAATTTCATTTTAGTAAATTGTGAAAATTAAAATTTCCTCCATCATGAGGAAAATCTGTCGATAACAAAGTGCCTCTTGGACAGCTGTTTCCCAAACCTACGGTTGTTACTGTGATATAGGATGTAATTAATAAGAGATCTGAAACTGGAAAGGAATAAATAAAAGGAAGATTAATATTGCCAGAATTAGTATTATGCATGAGTGTATATACTGGAACAACAGGATTTACAATTTCCATAATAAACTCAAAAGTGCTAAAATGTTCCAAGTTATTTTCAATATAATTTTTCATGCCTGTTACCTATTTTGGTCTTTTTCATATACTTGCTCATTAAAGATAGCATTTGCCATGGTAATTGTTTCGTATGATGATAACTAAATATATAAAGGTAAAAATATCAGTTCTTCTGTTTTTCCCCCAAGAAAAATGCAATATTTCCTGAAGAGTATTGTAATCATAATTAATATTTAGATTTTAAAAGATCTATAAATCTGATTTTTAAAAAGTTAAAATATTTTCAATTTCTTTTCTTAAGGTTGTATTTAATTTGTCTCTACTATAATCATTCATTGAAGAAAAGTCTCCTTTGAGTCAAACTTAATTTCTTGCAACAACATAGATATATTCACTCTACTGTCTTGGCAACAACAGGGAAGCATTTTACATTGCCTTTTTTCAGTTTTTAAAAAGTCCTGGATTATGGTGGTGATCCAAATACTAACTGGGTCCATCCTTTGTTTAGCTTTTTTAGACATCAGCCAGGATTGTATTGAGGGTGCCAAGCTGCTTATTATCCATCTACTCCTTTTCTCTCTCAAATAATATACATCCATTCTGTTTTCCCTAATGTTCTAAATGTGACTTTAAATTTTCAGAGAAGGCAATATATTGGGTGGTCAGCGTTGATACCTAAAGCATGTTATATTTTTCATGGATTAGCCACCCAAATAGCAGGAAATCCAGATTCTGTTTTTCATAAAATTGTTAAATTGGGTGCATTGGAAGCATTCAAATGTTCCTTTAAAAGAGACTTGAGAAGTACATAAAACTCTGGCACTGCTGCTAGGCTTAGACTATACGGCTGGTTCACAGTTACTCTTTCACCATGTTCCCTATGAGAATTAAGGATACTTTATAGTTGTGTTTATATAATAGACTTTTGATTGAATTTCTCCTTTAAAGCATCTTGTTATTTCATAAATTTAATCAGATTTATAAAAGGCAAGATGTATTTAAGCCTGTTTGGTTGCACCAGGGTGAAGTCACATTGTCTTCTTTCACTGAGGTGATGCAACATGTTCCTTCAAGGCAAAGGCTTTACTGAGGCAGAATAACTTATCTCTATACAGTAGCTGTCCATTAAAATATTCCTTAGAATATTCCAAAGCTCATTTGTAGCTAATTTTTTGTAGAGGAAGAAGTGTAATACATTTCAACCAAATCCAAATAGACAGGAGTCATTATGTGATTCAATACCACAAAATGGAATGGAAAGATTCTTGCTTCATTTGTTTCTTTATAATATAGTTATTGTAGGATATGGTTAAAAAAAGTCACGTTAGGAGCCACAGGTGGAACTTTGATTGCATTACTGGGTTGCGATTTTGCCTTTTGGCCTTACCTGTAGTCACCCATTCTGTACATCCCTAAAATATGTTGTGCAGAATCCCCTAATGCTCCTGGTTTGATTTTGAGGTTAAACATTAAACTGTGTGCAAGTCTGAAGACAAATTCTCTCATATTAAGGCCTTCAGTTTCTGCCACTATCAAATGACTATTATTCTACTAGCAAAAGGTTTCTAATTCAGGCTTTGGTGATTTATCCTCAAGTATGTTGACGTACCTTTTATAATATGCCATATTACATTTGGAAGCCCCACTGCATTAATATTGTTGGAGTGATCGCATTTTTATTGTTGATTAATTTAGATTTATTGCTATGTCATAATTTTGTGGTTTCCTGTGCACTCTCTTAGTGGCTTTTAAAAGAATATCAGAAAAATAGATAAACATAATTAAACAATTGGTTGCTATAATTACATTTCTATTAATATGGATTTCTTTCTGATTTCTTTCTATTGGTAATTCCCTTCATTCCCATCCAAAAACAGATAAGTACCTTTGCTATCCAAGCAGTTGATCTTGGGATGTTAAGCTCAGTGTTGGTGGAACACAATAACTCTGGTTATGGAGCTGGATGGTACCTTGATCAAATCTTGATACAAGAATTGGGGAAGAGCAATAGTCAGTATGTATTCTCATGCCAGCGATGGTTGGACAGTGGTGTTGGTGATGGAAAAATGAAACAAGAACTGTGGCTTCTTGGAAAAACCAATAAAGAAAGTCTGACAAAAGATGTTCATGGTAAGATATACAATAAAATGCTTTAAAGCTTCTGTTTTGGTGCATCTTTGTCTTTCCTGGTTGGATCAACTGAGAATAAAGACAGGTTTATCAGAACAATATCTTTAATGCAAAGTGTATATCCTTGGCATTTAGTAAAGCTGGGTAATGCAGTTATAATATTTAAATAAAAATAGATAAGCACATGGATAGATTAAAAAGTATAATCAATGTTTTAAATTAGATGTGGGGATTGAATGCACCATGGAGAGAGAAAAGAAAATATAGAATTCTCCATGCATGAGGCCTAAGGCTGTTGGATTTCAGGCTATTTCCTCACCTGTTCTAGCTGAGTTGTCTTTCTTTCCCCCAGTCACTTTTGGGAATAGTGCTTTAAATTTTGATTAATTGAAATGATCATATGACTATTACAAAGACAAATATTAACTCAATATTCTTATTCCATTTTAGAAGGAATAAACTCTTTGGAACACATATACTCAAAAATACATTGTATTAAATACAAAATCATTGTATTTGTTTGTCCCAAAAGTGCTCTTTTTCAGAACTGGACGTTCTGCTGAAGAAGCTTCTTGGAGGAGAAGAACAACCAGAAAGTCCAGTTACCTTTTGAAAAAAGCACCTTTGGGACAACCATGAGCTGGATTACTGAGAATCTCCATACACATTGTATCTGTTTCTTCTGCAGTACTATACCAATACACATTCATATTTGAAATACTGTTTTAATTGTGATTAGCTAAAACAAGGAGTGTGGCAAATAAAAGAATTCAAGTACCAAGGGATATAGATCTGCTAGAGTGTTTTCCTTGGCTACTTGCTCACAAAAGCAGCAGTTTATTCATTTGGTTACCTTAAATTTCTACTGGAGAAAATCTTTAATTCAAAGTAATGCATGGCTGAGACAACTTTGAACTCATGCATGGTGCCATTCATAAACATAACATTGTATTTATACTCAGAGGGCATGGTGACAAGGACTTCCATGACAAGTCTTCAGTTACTAGCTAAATCCTATATTTGAATTATAAATTTCTATAAAATGAAAATAGTGTCTTCCTCAGACACTTTTGTGAGGAAAACAAGTCCCAGGACTACTGAATAATTCAACTATGAGTGTTATATAAATTATAATATTGTATAATTCCATAGGTTAATGTAATTAAACTCTCAATTATTCCATCCAGCTTAAAAACTTCTAAATTATACTACAGAATTGATAAACAATTAAGCATTTTTTTTACATTTCAGATGTAGCATCGCAAACAAATTATTTCTTGTTGATTTCTAGGGATTTGGGATGTCACTGTTATAGCTGGGGAAATGTCAGATAATTACGGGAACTCTAAATTAATTCTGACAGTATGTGATGACAAAGGTACATCAGCTGCAGTTTTCATTCCCAAAGGATCATTTAAAAGGGCTAAAATTTACCAGACATCTTTGGAGCTAGATAAGAAATTTAATAAGATTTGCAAAATTCGCTTGGAAGTAGAAGACTCAGACAGAGAAACATGGCATTGTCATGAGGTAAAATTTAATTATGCATTACTATATACTTTTACACAAATGTTCTTTATTATTATAATTTACAAATCTATTCATAGACATACATGATTATCTGGGATTAGCCATACATGAATGGGTTTTTAATCATTCCATATCACAACAAATCTCATTGATCTCAGTAACTCTAAATATTAAGTCTTGATTCAACACATGATTATGATATAATTTCCATACTATAGCAGGAAATGGAAAACAACACTGTTTGGAAGGAATCACATTTTCTTTATGCTCACTTAATTTATTATTTTATTTTCCTCTTTTCTATAGGTGAAGCTTCAGAATAAAAAGAATAAGGAAACTTTAGAAATACCTTGCTACCGAGATTTTCCAGATAATAAAGGATGCACAGTGGTTGAATTTCCCATTCTGATAACTGGCACCAGGTTTTTAACAGGTTTGTTATTTACCAAACAATTAAAACAACTTCCACAAAAGCTTATAAAGGACATTTGCCTCCTATGTGGAGTTGAAAAGTCACACAAAAAGGAAACAGGAATGAAAGGAATATAGTAAGCCAGTTTAGGCATCAATTCTTAAAATTACATACCAGATGCTATAGCTGATGCCAAATAACAGTTAAGAAAGAAGAGTAAATGTTATATTCCACTTTTAGTTAGAGGTTCTGCTTTTGGGGGGAAAAGTGCTCCAATCATTTTTTTTACTAAACTGGTTGAATCATGGTTCCTTCTATGTGTAATGCCAACACTAACAGTAATTGCCAGAATTCTTGCCATATGCAAGGCTATTTTTCTCCAAGGAAGAAAAGTTGAAAAAGGATGGAAAGCAGAAAGACTATCAGCCTGCTGTTATAATGGGACTCTTTTTTTATTGTGATTTAGATTCTTTGTTGTGTTCTCTGTTGTGGTTTGTTCTTATATTGTGTTGTCTAGAATTAAACTCCATTGTTGTAAGCCAATGTAAGTAGTGGATAAACAATTAATAGGGCAAGACATACTTTTCATTAAAAGTTGTCTTGTGAACAAATAGGATATGAATTGTTTTGCTTTGGGGCCCCTGTCAACAATTCCAACTACCTCAACGAGGCTTACATGTACATGTCATGCATCTGCTGAAGCTTCTTCCTGTGTATTTTAGAAGGCTAAAGGCAGGTTGTTTTGCGAGTCAAAAGATGTTTTGCATGAATCTTTAGCAAAGCAAAGCCTATCTTTGTATTACACTATCACATTTCCTGATTACTAAGAATGCTTAGCAACTCAATGAAATAAACTACAAACTATAATATAATTACTAACATTTAATTTGATGGGACCCCTGCAGTAACAGCCCGTGATATGTTTAATATATACACATAATTCCAGTTTTATGTACAAGAACGAATACTTAGTCTCTTCCAGTCATTTCAGCACATTGAAATGTATCCATGTAGACCAAAATCCTTTAAGGAACATTTGAAAGATCTAAATATATACAGTCCAGAAAAGAGACCTTTTAAGTGATACTATTTTCCAGTATATAAAATATTCTTCTTCAGATGTTGGTACAAGCTATTCTCTATTGCTCCAGAAACCAGGATTAGAACTGATTGACATAAATTCCAAATCTAGACATGAAACTTAAGATAAACATTTGACAATGGAATAGATACTCTCAGGAACATATGTGTTCAACTTTGTCTATTGGATTTAAGAAGGGTAATCAGATCTATAAGAAATACTGTATATATCCTGTGGTACAGATCCATATATTCAGCAAGAAGGTGAACAACATAGCTTTCAAAATCTATCTATCCATCTATCTATCTATCTATCATCTATCTATCTATCTATCTATCTATCTATCTATCTATCTATCTATCTATCTATCTATCTAT